AACTGCCATGGCCATACCTGGCCACAGGAGGGCAGCAGTCCCTGTTTTCCCCATCCTCGGTGCCCTATTAGGAAGGAAGCCTCTCCGTTCCCGGCAGCCTCTTCGGCGGCCGCTGCGGGCCTCCCTCAAAGGGAAGAATCGGAGGGATGGAGAATAAGCCACTCCGCGCAGTTTTTTCTTTTTCTTCTTCTTCTGCGCATGCCCAAGATGGCGGCCCTACCTGTAAACGCTGAGGGAAGGGGGAGGAAGGTTCCGTCGAGGAGGCCTGTGGAGATTTCCACGACGAGGCCCCCGGTTGGTTGGTTGGCGGGCTGGCCGGAGTTTTGGCGCCGAGGTTGGCGAGGGAGCCTCCACCTCCATGGCCTCTGAAGGGCCTCCTCACTGGCCCCTTGGGAGGCGGAGGCTGCACCCGGAGCGGCGGCTGAAGGGCAGGTCGGTGGTGTCCTCTCCGGTCTTCCCTTTACCTGACTTTCCTTCAGTCCAGTCCAGTTCAGACCTCAACTGGACACTGAACGACCCTGAACTGGACTAGACTGGACTGGACTGAAGAGATGGGTGGTGGGAACGATGAGAAGACTAATAGTAGTGCAGACTTAGTGAATAGGTGGACAGTGTTGAGGGGATTATTTGCTGAGCAGAGGGATGGCGTTTGGAGAAAAAACTGTCCTTGTGTCTAGTTGTTCTGGTGTGCAGTGCTCTGTAGCCTCGTTTTGAGGGTAGGAGTTGAGACAGTTGATGTCCAGGATGCGAGGGGTCTGTAAATATTTTCACAGCCCTCTTTTTGACTCGTGCAGTATACAGGTCCTCCATGGAAGGCAGGTGGGTAGCCATGGTTTTTTCTGCAGTTCTAATGATCCTCTGAAGTCCGTGTCTGTCTTGTTGGGCTGCAGAGCCAAACCAGACAGTGATGGAGGTGCAGATGACAGACTCAATAGTTCCTCTGTAGAGCTGTATGACATGAAAACGCCAGACTGGCTTTCAATCAGCATTTGTTCACCCAAATCTAGTAAATCTTGAAAAAAAATGCTAACCTATAAAGAGCCTCTGTCCATTTCTTGTTGCCCCGTCCTGGCATTTTTCTCCGGCTGAGCAACTGACCTGCCCGTTTCCCCGTCCCGTTCCTCTGCAGAGCCTTGGCAGCAGTGGCTCCTGGCCGGCGGGATCTGCGTGGGCGGATGGGCCGCGAACTACCTGCCTTTCTTCCTGATGGAGAAGAACCTCTTCCTTTACCATTACCTGCCGGCCGTCACTTTCCAAATCCTCCTGATCCCCGTCATTCTGCAGCACGCCAGCGACTTCCTTTGCAGGTAGGACACCCAACCTCGCCTGTCTTCTTCCCTTGGTTTCCATCATCATTTTTTTTAAATTGCTTTTAAAATAATAATCAGAAGCAAAGCAGAAGAAAGACAGCACAAAGAGACATACACATGGTCCCTGACTTACGACCGTTCGTTGAGTGACCATTAGAACGTACAACTTGCATGGGGGGGAAAAAATGACCCCTGACCTTTTTTCACATTTAACGACCGCTGCAGCATCCCCCATGGGCACCTGGTCAAAACTCAGAATGCTTGGCGACTGACTCATATTTACGACCAGGCTATTTTTCTACTTGCGTTTTTTTTTTAACGTGCTTTCGAACTGCTAGGTTGGCAGAAGTTGGGACAAGTCACGGGAGCTCACCCCGTTACGCGGCACTCAGGATTCGAACTGCCGACCCTTTCGATTGACAAGCTCAGCGTCTGAGCCACTGAGCCACCACGTCCCTTTATTAAGCACACCCAATTCCATTAATTTAAATACCCAAATCCCATTAAATTAAACATACCCAATTCCAGCAACCATTCTTCCTCTTTTTCAGCCTCCCGGATCATCTTGGTTGCTCTTCTCTGCATTCTTTCTAGAGGCTCAATCTCCTTTTTTAATGCTTGTCTCTCTCTTCACTCCCACAGATCCAGGCTCTCCAAGAGCATGCACGGCGCTTTGGTGGTGGCCTGGATGTCTTCCGTCTACCTGACGTACCACACGTTCAGCCCACTTACCTACGGAGACCCGGCACTCTCAAAATCGGAGTTACAAGCTCTACGTTGGAAGGATAGCTGGGACATTTTGATCCGCAAACGCTGACCAAGCCCGAGAAACGGACAGCGGAGAGAATGTCGGTGACGGGACGACCAAGAAAAGGAGGAAAAAACATCTGAACTAGACAGTTCTTCCATTTTGGACCGGTTCTGTTAATCCCAGAAACAGTATTGTCGAAATGGAAATGGCTGCAGAATGGATTTGGGGGTGGTTTGCAACACTCTCTCTCTCCCACCCACCCCCTTATTATGAATAAGTAATGTACAGGATAGTAATAATAAAAAGGAGGTTTTTAGAGATGCTATTGTGAATAACAATAGTTATAAAGATGATTACACTGGGATTAACAGTGAAAGAATTGGGGAATAGGGGGTAGAATAGAAAAGTCCAGGACTTTGATTTATAAAATAATTATATTGAGATTAATAATGAGATTAATAACAGAAATATGAGAAGAATATGTTACAGATACTTAAAATTGAAATATGGATATATAATATAGCTTTAATATATGAGAAATAGACTGTTAAAAGAAAATGTATCAATGGACATAATGAATCAATGTTTATTATGATGTTATATGGTATTGAGAATAATTGATGCCTAAAAAAATTGGGATATTGTTCAAATATCTATAACAATGGTAATAATTTGAATAGTTTCAATAACTTTAATATTTTAATATTTTCAGTATTTTGATAATATATCTAAGCAAAAAAGAAAGAAAGAGTGAAATAATATAGGACTATGAATTACAAATAAGAATTACTTAAACTGGCTTATATAAATGAGACGATTACAGAGATGGAATTGTGGGAAATAATTGGAAATTGTATTGTAGTTCTATTTGAATTAAGAATTAGGTTTCAATGGTAAATTGCTATATTTTGGGGATTAGAGATAGGATCTAAGTTTGGTGAAGTAATGAAATAAAGATTTAATGAGCATTATACGAAGCAACCATAAATGTGGGGAAGTTTTAGAGAGGGAAATAAGATTTTTGAAATATAAACATGTTTGATTTGTATTGTTTATTGTGAGGATTTAGGCCAAGAATTGTGAAATGTAATATGAGTTATGAATTGAATCGTGACTTAAAGTGGGTTAATAGAAGGGTAATTGTTTTGATTAAATAAATAAGAGTAAACTTTTGATAAGATGGTAATAGGGGAGATAGGCGATTCAAGGTTAAGTATTGCTAATTGTGAGGATTTAAGGTAAGAATTATGAAATGTACTAGTAATTAAGACTAGCCACTGTTAATACATTCACAATCAGATATCTCAATTCTCTATTATATATTTCAGGTACAATCCCCAATAAAAAAAAATCTCTGGTTTAAAATCTACGTGGTTTTTTTCTCATTTTTTCCAACCATGTGTCTGGCTGGAGGCCATCTTTGAGGCTTCAGGGGTTTTGGACCATTTGGCACAGTGCCAAATTCGTGTAAATATGGCATTGGGGGTTTTGGACCACTTGGCACTGTGCCAAATTCGTGTAAAAATGACATTGGGGGTTTTGGACCATTTGGCACTGTGCCAAATTCGTGTAAAAATGACATTGGGGGTTTTGGACCACTTGGCACTGTGCCAAATTCGTGTAAAAATGACATTGGGGGTTTTGGACCACTTGGCACTGTGCCAAATTCGTGTAAAAATGGCATTGGGGGTTTTGGACCACTTGGCACTGTGCCAAATTCGTGTAAAAATGACATTGGGGGTTTTTGGACCACTTGGCACTGTGCCAAATTCGTGTAAAAATGACATTGGGGGTTTTGGACCACTTGGCACTGTGCCAAATTCGTGTAAAAATGGCATTGGGGGTTTTGGACCACTTGGCACTGTGCCAAATTCGTGTAAAAATGGCATTGGGGGTTTTGGACCATTTGGCACTGTGCCAAATTCGTGTAAAAAAAGGCATTGGGGTTTTTGGACCACCAGGCAGTCCCTGGGAAGACTTGGCACTGTGCCAGAAGGAGTTTATGTCCTGATGCAGGTTAGGAAAAATTGTAATAGACAAGGAACTGGAAAAAAAGCAAGATTCAACTCAAATCTTCTTCATTACTCATTTATTATAATTCTCATTTGCCCCCCCCTAGTTGCATTCAATTGTATAATAACTCTAGTGTTCTACATATAAAACAGTCATTATAAAAAATACATTTCTTTAAAGCTGCTCCTGTTAAAAAAAGTGAGATGGCTTAAGTAAATTACACACCCTGTTTGCCACGTTTTTGGATTTTAGCTAACAGGTTTGCAAACCACAGAAAGTCGCATCAGTGACCACTGGAGTTGCAACTATTAAAAAAACAAAAACCCTAAATGGGGATTCTTAGCAGCCTATCCGTAGGAAAATCATCTTCTGTACAAACCTCGTGAGGATGGGAAGCTTGGTCTGAAGAAAAGGTGAGTGCCAGATAAAGGGAAGACTTATACATTTTTTGTTTCATACTGGATGGTTCCTTAAGCATAGCTGCACCCCTCTATCATCTCAAGAGGGTTATGAGCTATTTTTCCATCCATAAACTTCATGAGGACCAGGAGCCTGATCCAGGGAAAAGAATGATTGTCAGATAAAGGAGAAACTACTCCCCCCCCCCCAATCGAACAGGTCGTTGAGCATAGTCTCAAGAGGCTTATGAACTATTTTATGAAATTGACCTACAAGATATTGTATTGACACAATTCAGATACTGAATTGACACCATCTCTACAATGTGACATTCATCAATATTGACCTAAGAAGGCACACTCTGGTTTTGACCTTTCTCTAACCTGAAATTCTCAAAAAGTATTTTGGGTAGGGGGGTGTTACGCATGGGGTGAGATAGGAAGACAGATCTCATGTAACAACATTTAGTGGTTTTTAGTTCACAGCTGGTCAGCTCAGAACATGTTACTTACTTCTGATTACGGACTGTTAGGAATCATCAAATTGAGTAGCTCTCTTCAATCCCCCCAATAGATTAAATTATATCTTCTACAACCCCCTCCCCCTTTAGTGAGTGTTAAAAAGTGCAGCACAGTGGAAGATGCCCAAAGCAATATTTTCAAGGTGACCACATCTGGGGAAGAGGGAACGATGCCCCCAAAGCTTCCAAGGGGCTGTGAAAACAACTCCCGAAACTTTTTTAAAAGTGCATATCCAGAGACTGCCTCTTTTTTCGCATTTTTTACAAAATGTGCATAAACAGAGGAAATTGTTGCAAATATTTTCTCCTCCTCTTTTGGGGACCCTTAAAAAAATAGAAATCCTTAATAGAAATCCAGCTTAGTCTGCACGGTTTTTACAGCCTTTGTCCGAGTAAATCTTCTCGTCTTTGGGGAAAAAGGTCATCTCTCCGGCCACGTTTTCGACGATCTCTTCGTCGACGAAGTTGCCGCGCGATTTCATCTCTGCCCGGATACACATTTTGACGTGCTTGTACTCCAAGGGAAGGAAAGGCACGAAGTAATCGATGAGGTTTCGGTCAATCAGGCTGCTGTGCCACAGGCCGCCTGCGGGAAGAGACGAGAGGTTTGGAAAGGGGGAAGGTCTGGAAGGAAAGCGCACGTGGCCCACCACCCGTTTTTCTTTATGATCGCTAAAGACCTCCTGCTACGCATGCCAAGGTAGGAATTCATAGCGGGGCCTTATCAGTGGTGGCTCCCTCATCTTCCTGCAATGTTCTCCCTAAATAGTTCTGGAAGATGTCTATGATTGTTTCCAGAAGGTACTGGTTGAAAACTTCTGTCTTTGCCCCGTCTTTTCAGGTACTGAGGTTGGATGAAACTTTCTCTACTGGCCTTCCTCCCTCCCTTTCCCCTTTGTCTCCCTCCTTCCTTCCTTCCTTTCCCTTCTTTTCTTCCCCTCTCTTCTCCCTCCCTCCCTTCTTCCTCCCCCATTCTCCCTTCTTTCCTTCCCTCCCTTTCTCTCCCTCTTTTCCTCCCTCCCTCCCTTGCTTTCTCTCCCTTTTTTCTTCCCTTTCCTTCCCTTCCATTGTCCGTCTGTCCATCCATCTTTCTTTCTTCTTTCCCCAGTTTCAAGACTCTTTCAGCCACCCTGGGAACTGACAATATACAGATATGCCCAATTAACAAAGACATATCTTGGTATTTAAAAACCTGGCTTTTGGATAGATTCCAATAGAAAACTTTACTAAAGAAATACAATATTTAACATTACATATATTAACAGCAGCTCGCATAATATATGCGCAAAACTGGGAGAAGGAATGTCCACCAACAGGAGAGGATTTAATTAAAAAAATCCTCGAATGCACAGAGATGGACAAGCTTACAAAGGAACTTAAGGAAAGAGAGGACACGGATTAGTATAGAGTATGGTACAGATGGTATGATTGGTGTGAGAAAAGGAAAAATGAAAATGAAAAAAAGGAATAAAGGAAAAAAGGGGGAATTGAAATAATATTTTATTGTTTATTTTTGTGATAATATTGCTTGAATGTGCTGAAGATGAAAGTAAAAAGAAGTCGATATAAAAGAAATTAGAATACCTAAGTAGATTAAGATAAAGTTAGAATAATATGTAATATAATAAAAAAGGATCACCTTAAACGAGCTGTTAACAATGGAAAAATGATATGTATATATATATGTTTGTTTGTTATGTGTGTTTTTAATGTGTGTTGTTTTAATGTGTGTAAAATAAAAAACTTTTTTAAAAAAATAAAATAAAATAAAAAATAAAAACCTGGCTTTTTTGCGTGGGATTTGGGAGGTGAAAACAGGCAACAGAGGGCAAATCAATCCAAGATCACTACTCACTGTTCCGGTTGTTGAAAACGCCCAAGGACAAGACCATTTCCAAATCTTTCAACTGGATCTGTTCCCTCTCTCGGCCGCTCTTCCAAAACTCTAGCGCGACTCTTGTGATCAGGTCGCCTCCCGCGTTACTGTTAGGAATCAGAGGTTGAAAAGAACCAGCATTAAAAATCCGGCCCTTCCACTCCGGTTATAACCAACTCTGATTAACTCCGTTGGCAGATCTGCCAGCACCTGAGGAAAATGAAGATGGCTCTCCGATACGACACGCCGTCGATCTGCTCGTAGTAATCCAGGAAGGGTTTGATGGCGTCAATCAGCCCCGGGTGCAACTTATCCATTCGTCAAAGATGAAGACGGACTTCGCGCAGGTGCTGACGTTGCCCCGGATCCATTTCTGCAGCTGGTCCTGGAAAGCAGAAGGAGTCGAAAGTTCGTGCAAAGATTCACCTCCCCGTTTCGATCGGAAGGCAATGGGATCCATTCTCCAGATTCCATCGCCTAACTCAAGATGCTTTGGTGAAATTCAACACAGGCAATCCTCAACTTGTAACGGTTCGTTTACTGACTGTTCAAAGTTACAACGGCACTGGAAAAAAGTGACTTATGTCCATTTTTAAGAGCCTTGGTACTACAGTGGTTTAAAGCACCCTGTTATTAACACAGCTGCCTGCAATTTACTGCTGGTTCGAATATTTTTTTATTTATTATTTTATTAATTTAATTTGTATACCGCCCTTCTCCCAGAAGGGACTCAGGGCGGTGAACAGCCAAAATTAAAAAACATACAAATGCAAAAGTTAAGATAATTAAAAGAATTAGATCATTGGCTACCCAAATTTAAAACCCCAAATCCATAAAATTTAAAATCCCAATTAAAAACCATTTAGGCTAGGCCGGCTTGATCAAATAAAAACGTCTTCAGGGCTTTACGGAAGGTCCGGAGGTCCGGGATCAATCGTATTCCAGGAGGCAGCTCATCTCTCCAAGGCTCAAGGTTGACTCAGCCTTCCATCCTTTCTAAGGTAGGTGAAATGAGGACCCAGTTTGTGGGGGCAATAAGATGACTTTGTATAAAATATACAAAAGGATGAAGGCTATTGCTTAGCACATTGTAAGCCGCCCTGAGTCTCCGGAGAAGGGCGGCATATAAATCAAATTAAAAAAAAAAAAAAAAATTCATTCACTTACGACCTTTGTGTGACATTTTTTCACACTTATGGCTATGATCCCCATAGTCACGTGATAAAAATTCAGACACTTGGCAACCGACTCATATTTATGACGGTTGCAGGGTCCCGGGTGTGTGTGTGTCATGTGATCCCCTTTTGTGACCTCCTGACGAACAAAATCAATGGGGAAGGCAGATTCACTTAACGACCGGGCTACTAACTCATCAACTGCAGTGATTCACTTAACAACGGTGGCAAGAAAGGTTGTAACATGGGCCAAAGCTCACCTAACAACTATCTCGCTTAGCAACATACGTTGTGCTTGTAGGTCTGCCTATAAATCCAGACTAGAATCCTTAACTTTAAATACCCAGAACATTTAAAAGTTTTGCTTTCTATTCTTCGCAGCTTCCTCCTTCCAACTGCTTTGTCCTTTCTAGAAGTCACAAGATTATTATTATTATTAACAAAAGGGGATTTCAATGCTCTGTGGAACCAGCTCAGCTTGTTTTTTGTTGTTGTTGTTGTTGTTTTTTGCTTTCTCCCAGGAGATGACCAGAGGACAAAGAAATAGCATTTCCTGCTTGGCTGTCCAGCGTCACACGAATCCTGGAGATGCCACCAAGCCATGACAACTACCATTGGTTCCCAGCTCCTTTCCTACCCCTAATAGTGGGGAGTGGGTTGGGGGGGGAAATCCTACTGTTGGGTTCCTTAGTCACAATTCTCAGGGATGCAAGACTTGCTCTCACTTGGCCTGTCTGTAAAATGGACACAACGCCAGCCTACAAGCGGCTGTAATTCTGACAAAGATTCTGCAAAAAGTGCCTCTTTTTGGCACCGAGCTGAAGCAACTCCGAGTTTGCTCTCACCTTGTAGAGAGGGACCAGGTGCTCGTGCGGGAAATGCAGCGTGGAAAGAAACAGGTGCACGAAGGTGCTCTTCAGTCCGGCCGGGTAAAGGTTTTCGGCGATGATCTGGCTGACAAAGTTTTTGCCCGTCCCGGCCCAGCCGTGCAGCGAGAGGACCAGCGGCTTCTTCGGGTTGGAATTGTGGATGAAGCCGGTCAGCGCCTTCAGGATGACCTCTTGGGCCAAGTGCTGGCCGAAGAGCCTCTCGTTCAGGGACTGCTGCAGGGCTGCGGAGAGAGGGAAGGGAAGGAGGAAGGGAAGGGAAAAGGAAGAGAAGGAAGGAAGGAAAAAATGGAAAGGAAGGAAGGAAGGAAGGAAATGTGAAGGGAAGGAAGGAAAGAAATGGAAAGGAAGGAAGGAAGGAAAGAAATGGGAAGGGAGGAAGGAAGGAAGGAAGGAAAGAAATGTGAAGGGAGGGAGGGAGGGAGGAAAGAAATGTGAGGGAGGGAGGGAGGAAGGAAGGAAAGAAATGAGGGGAAGGAAGGAAGGAAGGAAGGAAGGAAGGAAGGAAGGAAAGAGGGAGGGAGGGAGGAAGGAAGGAAAGAAATGGGAAGGAAGGAAGGAAGGAAGGAAGGAAGGAGGGAGGGAGGGAGGGAGGGAGGAAAGAAATGGGAAGGAAGGAAGGAAGGAAGGAGGGGAGGGAAGGAAGGAAAGAAATGGAAGGAAGGGAGGGCGGAAGGAAGGAAGGAGGGAGGGAAGGGAAGGAAAGAAAGAAATGGGAGGAGAAGAAAGGAAGGAAGGAAGGAAGAGGGAGGGAGGGAGGGAGGGAGGAAAGAAATGGGAAGGAAGAAGGAAGGGGAGGAGGGAGGGAAGGAAGGAAAGAAGAGGGAAGGAAGGGAGGGCGGAAGGAGGAAGGAGGGAGGGAAGGAAGGAAAGAAATGGGAAGGAAGAAAGGAAGAGAAGGAAGGAAGGGAAGAAAGAAATGTGAAGGGAGGGAGGAGAGGAAGGAAGGAAAGAAATGGGAAGGAAGAAGGAGGAGGGGAGAGGAGGGAAGAAAGGAAAGAAATTGTAAGGAAAGAAGGAAGGAAGGAAGGAAGGAAGGAAGGAGGGGAGGGAAGGAGAAAAGAAAGGGAAGGAAGGGGGGGCGGAAGGAAGGAAGGAGGGAGGGAAGGAAGGAAAGAAATGGGAAGGAAGAAAGAAGGAAGGAAGGAAGGAAAGAAAGAAATGTGAAGGGAGGGAGGGAGGGAGAGGAAGGAAAGAAATAGGGTGAGGGAAGGAAGGAAGGAAGGAGGGAGGGAGGGAGGGAGGGAGGAAAGAAATGGGAAGGGAGGGAGGGCGGAAGGAAGGAAGGAGGGAGGGAAGGAAGGAAAGAAATGGGAAGGAAGAAAGGAAGGAAGGAAGGAAGGAAGGAAAGAAAGAAATGTGAAGGGAGGGAGGGAGGAAGGAAGGAAAGAAATGGGAAGGAAGGAAGGAAGGAAGGAAGGAGGGAGGGAGGGAGGAAAGAAATGGGAAGGGAGGGAGGGAGGAAGGAAGGAAGGAAGGAGGGAGGGAGGGAGGAAAGAAATGGGAAGGGAGGGAGGAAAAGGAAGGACTGTGAGCAACCCTAAATCTTTGAGTCTTTTCATAATCCTCCTTTTCCTAACTCCACTACAAATGGATTCCTATACACTGAAGAGTTCAAACAGCTGCAGAGGGGGGGGGGGGGGGGGGGGGGATGGGTAGTGTATTCCCAGGCTTCCATGGAGCCATTTGTGGGGAAGACCAGTTGCCCCCCCCCCTCCGACACCCTTAGGCAACAAACAAGGGCGAAGGCCGCTGGGGAGGATAGGAGCTGGAGTCCTTCCTTACACCCTGAAAGCAGGGGTGCCGGGGAGCATGGGAGATGGAGTCCCCCCCCCCCCCCAACACCGGGGGGGGGGCGGCGGTGGTCGCGGGGGGGGCAGCACTCCACGAAGGCGCAGTAGAAGCGGGGCTTGGCCAGGTAGCCGCTCAGCACGGAGGCCGCCCCGATAGCCAGGCTGACGCTGACCGGCTCCAGCGCCCCCGCCGCCCCCGCCGCCGCCAACGCCACCAACGCCAGCAGCATGGCGGCCCCCGCTCCCGCCGCCCCAGACTACAACTCCCGGCACGCCCCGCGGCGCCGCTTCCGCCCCGGCTCTCTCTCTCTCCGCGCAGGCGCCGACCTCTTGCTCCAGGCCGCCCCGCGCCCTCTGGTGGCCGGCCCGAGAATGGCAGCTCCCCATGTAACCCAGGATTCCCAGGGTTGTCTGCCTCCCCCATCGTGGCTTGTTCTAAACCACGATGGCTGGCAGGATGGGTTCAATCGGAGTTGGAAGGGACCTTCTAGGGCAGTGTTTCTCAACCTTGGAAGCTTGAAGATGGGTGGACTTCAACTCCCAGAAACCCCCAGCCAGCAACACCAGCAAGACAAGTAGAGAGAGACCGGCTGGGGATTCTGGGAGTTGAAGTCCACCCATCTTCAAGCTTCCAAGGTTGAGAAACACTGTTCTAGGGTCTCCAGCTTTGGTAACTGGCTGCTTGGGGAATTCTGGGACTTCAAGTCTACAACAGGGTTAGGGTTAGCTGGTTAGGGAATTCTGGGAGTTGAAGTCCGCCAGGCTTTAAAGTTGCCAAAGTTGGAGACCCCTGGTTTGTTGGATTATGGGGCTGCTGGATTCTGGCTTGTTGAGTTGTGGCTTGTTGGATTTAATTTAATTTAATTTGATTAATTCAATTTATATGCCGCCCCTCTCCGAAGACTCAGGGCGGCTCACAATACATTTTATTTGTTTAAATTAAATTTCTATACCGCCCTTCTCCAATATAGGACTCAGGGCAGTGAACAGCCAAAGTAAAAACAAGACATACAAAATCTAAAAACTGTTTTAAAAAATCATTATAAAAAACATTTTAAAATTAGACATTAAAAAACATTAAAAACATTAAAAACTCATTCACACCATTCATCAGGGTTTGTTGAATGACTGGATTCTATAATGGCCTTATCTTTAATTTAGGGCTTAGCAGCCATGTGCAGACCCAGATAGAATTCATGATGGTTTACCTTCGTGGGATGTAACAAGCAACCCAAGCTCTCCTGACTACATCTCCCAGCGAGCCTTGCTGCAGTTTCCTGCTTATCAGTTTTTCCCTTTCCAATCCCGGTTTGCCAAATCTCTCAGTGGCCACCCAGGGATAAGGTGCAAAGGGCAGGATCCCCTCCTACCCCGCCCGAACAGGTTTGTTTTAAGTCATGTGTAAACTTGACATAAACTCTGTCCCTGCAAAGCAAACTTTGGGGAAACCCTGAGTAAACGGGGGAGTAATATGAGACACGCAAGAAATGTTGGAAAGCTCCTAAAGTAAATACTACACCCACAGCAGAAAGCTTATCTATCTCCTACGAAAACTCTCCTTATATAAACTTTAACTAGCAAAAACGCTGCTCCGTAGGACAGGTTTTGAATCAAGATATCTCAAATGGGCTCAAACTGACAGGATGAATCCAGATTTCAGGAGCTGGGTCTGGCAAAGTTAATAAAACAACTTTCGCCTACCCCTAAAACACTCATTCTGTAACCTTTAGCGGGTCCAAACGGGGCTCCCTAGGACCACCATTTCTGATCCAATGAATCCCAAATATGCTTTCTAAAAGAGTGCACCCACAATTCAGGGCCTGGCACTCCATGGAATTGAAATTGGGCAAATTTAGTAAAACAACATTCATCGATCCATAAAACTCTCAATCTGTCACCTTTTCAAAGCTGGTATTTTCGAGGTCGCCATCCCCCACCATCCTGATTCTGCTGGGCAAACTGGGAGTTTTGGAAATCAATTTATCCTCAGCCATAAAACATTGAGCAAAAGTGTTCATTACATTGGACCACTGATTACGCTATCTGAGTGACCCTTATTGATCCATCCATCCATCCATCAATAATATGCCCTCTATGTAAACTAAAAAGTTCAAGCAAACTTTATGGACGTCAAGCGTTCCAGAAGTCTTAGATTTCAACCCCCATGTTGCTCAACCAGTTAAAGCAGGGTGGGGGGGATAGCTGAAAGTGTATATAAAGGGACCCCCCCCACTCTAAATCGCCATCCTCAGAAGCCATCTTACCTTTCCATATTTTGTAACAAGTAAGTGGCAAAAATCTGAGCTTTCTGTAGTCCCATGAAACCAGAAACTTTTTCAGCCTTTTTGTCAATGCGTCAATAGTGACTTTTCAGCACCTTGGACAGCTACACTTCCTATCGCATGAGGTGTAGCCACAAGGAAGTTGTGATGTTGGATAACCCTTTGTCTGAAGTGGTGTAGGGTTTCCTGCCTAAGCAGGGGGTTGGACTAGAAGACCTCCAAGGTCCCTTCCAACTCTGGTATTGTATTGTATTGTATTGTATTGTATTGTATTGTATTGTATTGTTTGTATTGTATTGTATTGTATTGTATTGTATTGTATTGTATTGGTATTGTATTGTATTGTATTGTATTGTATTGTATTGTATTGTATTGTGTTTCCCGTCGCCGACATAAATAATTTAATAAATAAATAAACCTGGTCAACTCTTAAGATGTATGGACTTAAACTCCCAGAATTCTGGAAATTGAAGTCCACACATCTTGGAGTTGCTATGGCTGAGAAAACTCTACGTTAGAACCTCCCGATCAGGTTTGAATTTGAAGGTTTGAATTTTGACGCCCGTTAGATGCTGTAACTGTTGTAAGTGTGAAACACAGACATGAGTCGCTTTTTTCCATGATAATTTTGAACGGTCACTAAACGAATAACAGTGGCTAAGGGAGGCTGGCTTTGGGAAATGTACGTACGTGTGTAAATATTGATCTAATTTGAATGGGATTAGCCAGGTGGTGACCTTTTGGGTCACAAGGAAAAACGATCCGATAGCTTTTTGAAAAGAGATCTTCTCCTCTTTTCAGCCAAGATGCAAATCAATTATTTAGCTGTGTCAGGCCATGCAAAAGTCGGTCGCTGGTGTGCAAATGAGCTGCGTTCAACTTGTTGGTGCGCAAAAAGGAAGGCCCACACCCTTGGGGGGCAGGTAAGAGAGGACCTGGGGATCTTGTCAATTCAGGGGGGCAAACTTGCACCTCCCCAAGATTTCTCGGTGTGGAATTCCAGAAGATTCTGGAAGCTGAAATCCAGCAGCTTCGGAAGGCACCATTTTAGGAAAGGCTGGTTGGCATCTTTGGGCAAAATTCCGTGCCACCTGAGCAAAAATGGGGGCAGAAGATTGTATAAGATCAGCAGCTGCCAGGTGTTGTCTAGCCATGTTCATTCACACAACTGTTTTGGGTGTAACAGATTCCAAGTGCGAAATCCAGCAATGCTCTTAGCATCTTAAACCACGATGTGGTTTTCAGGTAGTCCTTGACTTAGGACCACAGTTGGGGTGGGACAAAAAAATACCCTTCACTTTCCCCCAGTGCCATTGTAACTTCAAATGGTGGCTAAATGAAAGCTTGCAAGCCAAGGACTACCTGGCATTAGTTTGAGCCTAAGGTGTTAGCCTGCATGCAGTTAGTCTTATGTGGATGTGGGGGTCCAGGATAGACCTGTTTCAAAGAGGGAAATAGCCTATCCATCTAGCAAATGAACAGGGTAACGTGGTTACTTAAAGAGAGCTGGATGAGAGAAAATTTATTTCAACTTAAAAGGGGATGATAGGTTCAACATACCTACTTCTTCTTTCTACCACCACCCCTTGCTAGCATCCTACAACTACTACTACTCGTTATCCTCCTCCTTCTCTTCTTCCTTCTCTTCTTCTTCTTCTTCCTCTTCTGTTCCTTCTCATTCACCTTTTTCTCCTTCTTCCTCTTCTTTTTTCTCTTCTTCTTCTTCTCTTCTTTTCCTTTTCCTCCTCCCCCTCCCTCTTCCTCCTTCTCTTCCTCCTCTTCCTCCTCCTCTTCTTCTTCCCCTTCTTCCTCCTCTTACTTCTCCTTCTTTTCCTCCTCCTCCTCTTCCTTCTTTCTCTTTTTCCTCTCCTCTTAATTTTCCTCCCCCCCCCCCCCCCCCCAGAAGTTGCTTCCTGCATGGTTTCAATCAATGCCATCAGGTTTCAGAGAGAGATCCTTGCCACTCTGCCCACTTAACCTGTCCAGCTCATCCTCATTTCCTTGCCTTCTTTTGATGCAACAGATCCAACGTTTCTCTGGCTAGAATCCCAAGCTACCATCTAGACGTAGATTCGGGATCTGGCTCTTGGGTGAAGTAAAGGCTGAGGAGAAAACAGCCATGACCATCATGGATCCTTGAAGGACAATCTCACCGAACGATGGGTTTCAACACTTCTCCAACCTTCCCAGGTCTTGAAGGCAAAACGCCAGGACTTGGACCAACTGCATAGACTCTCTTGAGAACCTCAGAGAGTGCTTCCATTATTGTAAGCCAGTTCTCACTTTCCCGGATCAAGCCTCCTATGATGGGAGGAGCTGTCTGCTCTCCCTTGGTGGAAATCTGGGATGTGACCAGCAAGCCAACATCCTCCAATTCCTTGGAGCTCTCTAGTTTCTCAGAGGGAAAACCTAGCTGGGCGTCTCCTTCTTCCAATGGATCTTCTGGTTCTTCAGGGTCTGTGGTTGACATCTTCAAAGAAGAAGGACTGCTGGCTTCATCTTCTCAACAGACTGGCTCCAATCCAACACTGACTAAGACTTCTGAATTCTCTTAGAGATGGATTACAATAGCACCTGATTGCCCTCTGAATACCTAACCTCAATACTTCAGCTCCCAGAATTCTTTAGACCAGCGTTTCTCAACCTTGCCAACTTTAGGACACGTAGACTTCAATTCCTCGGGCCAAGCGGGGGAATTCTGGGAGTTGAAGTCCGTATGTCTTATGAGAAACACTGCCTTGGACCACTGTTCAGGACTGCGAAGACATATTTTCAATATTATGTAATGGTTTGGGTGATGGTAGGTGGTTTTATCCCTAAATTAAAATATCAGATTTTTTCTTTATTTCTGGTGGTAACAAATGTGGCATTAATGCAGTTTATAAGGATTTTTTTCCTACCACCAGGGGGCAGCATGAATAAGTGCTTGAAAAATCCTTACTCCCCTTAGTAGTGACTTAATTCCTAATTGATTTATTAATTAAAACTAATTCTTAATTCATGCTTTGATGTCATCAGAGAGCATAGGTCTCAGAAAATGCGCCCATTCAGTAAAGAGCTAAACACCTCCTCCCTTTTCATACTGTGATGGTACTTGGGGCGAAAAATATGCTGCCTAGGAAACGGTCGCATAAGTGAGGACATAGAGGCAGTCCTCGATTTACGACCACAAACGGGAGCAGAATTGCCATCGCTAAGCAAGGCCGTTGTTAAGAGGGACATGCCCAATTTTATGACTTCCCCCCATGGTTTTAAGTGAATCACAGGGTCATTAAGTGGATCCAGATTCCTCCATCGACTTTGCTTGGCGGAAGCTTGGTGGGAAGTCTGCCGTTGGTGGGTCACGTGGGCCTGGGTGATGCTGTGTGTGACAGTCATAAGTGTGAGGACTTGTAAGTCAATTTTTTTTAGTGCGGTTGTAACTTTCAAAAGCCACTTATTAAATGGGTGTAAGTCTACCCACATCCCTTTAAGGAGACATGTCACACATGTGCTGTAAGAATTGAATAAAAGGATCTCGCTTTAATTTGTTTAATTTGGAATCTGCTCCCGAACAACCATTATTCTGTCCAGAATAAGGGACATCAGAAGCTCCAGACCCCTTCCCATCTTGGTACCTTCCCTGGTCACGTTCTAGATGGACCTGTCCATGATGTCACCAGGAGACAGGATTGAATCAATAGACCATGAGAAGAACAGGACATGAGGGTTGAATCAATGGTCCCTGAGGAGGGCAGGAAGATAACCAGGCTCTCCATCTCAAATTGAGTGGAGCACACCAAACTTAAGACCCTTCCCAGGCCAAGTTCCCCAGCTCGGCCCCTGTGCTCGAGGGTTGGCCTTGACATTAGCCCTGCTCTCTTCTCCTCCTCCTCTCTCCTGTTTACAATAGTAGGAGTGGAACCAGAACATCTGGTGGGAAGGGAAGGGAAGGGAAGGGAAGGGAAGGGAAAAGCAAGCTGGACTGAGTCTCGGGGTCCATGGGTTCGGTTCAGAAGGATCGTCTTTCCAGCTTCCCCTTCCATTAGGCCTCTTTCCAGCTGCTGTTGTGTTTGGAGACGCAACTAAGGATTTGTTAATCTTCTTAAGAAGGTTTTGCATAAGCAAATCCAGTGGTTTAACCCCTGGGAAAGGGGCCCAACTGCGTGCTCCAAACAACAACAAATAAGTCTCTGTGAATTTTTCAGCTGCTGCTCTTGCAGGGGTCTACAAATTAGACCGTGAGCCTTCCCATGAACGTCAATAGCTCAGGGGGTCTTGGCAACTTTTAAGACTTGTGGACTTCAACGCCCAGAAACCTGGCTGGGGAATTCTGGGAATTGAAATCCACAAGTCTTAAAAGCTGCCAAGTTTGGAGAGCCCTGAGCTATTGACGTTCTTGGGAAGACTCTTGGTCAAAAAAAGCAGTGGATGAATGCGCTGGACCAAGAGCAGTCCTTGAAAGCCAACTGGATAATTATGGGCTGCCTAGAATTAAGGAGATTTCCTGGTCCTTCAGAAGTTGTGGGTGCTCCATCACTGGAGATTTTTAAGAAGAGGTTGGATAACCGTTTGTCTGAAGTGGTGTAGGGTTTCCTGCCTAAGCAGGGGGTTGGACTAGAAGACCTCCAAGGTCCCTTCCAACTCTTCTCTTCTCTTCTCTTCTCTTCTCTTCTCTTCTCTTCTATTTCTATTTCTATTTCTATTTCTATTTCTATTCGGATTCTTCCATTCTTAACTCTCAAATCATCGTCTAGTCTAGACCAAAGGCATTCAACCTTAGCAACTTTAAGACTTGTGGACTTCAACTCCCAAAATCTCCCAAAATTGGGCACCCCTGGTCTAGGTTAAACTTTTATGAGGACTCACCCGCCACCCAAACATTGAACAAAATGGAAACTTGTGGCCTGAAGCCGAACCTCCAGAATGAGAGATAATGAAAGACACCTTAAAATGCCAGGTGAAGGTGTGTCCCTGTGTGGGCCAACAATTGAATTGGCATTTTTGGCTGCTTTTATGCAGAGTGTGAAGGCATGCCCGAACAAGAAAGAAAAGTCCGATTGCCAGAAATAAAGATGGCATCATGCATTTTTTCTGGATCATCCTTCTGTATTTCAACACATTGCTTCCGATAATTCCGAAGAAGGTTTGCCCTGCATAAATGAGGCGGCTCTTGGCTGCTTCCTCATCAAATCTCGTTATGAAATTACTCCCTTTCCATTCAGTCTATAAAAGGGAATTTATGACCTGTCCTGGGCAATACATCTCCCTATATTGCAAAAAAATACACAAATAAATAAAACCCAGACAAAATAATCCATGTCAACAACAACGGTTCAGCCAGACAAACTCAACAGGTAGCTATCGTGGCTTGCCTTGACCTGGTTTGGCATGCTGTGTGAATGGGGCGGGGCTCAAGGAAACTGCAGTGTGAATTTCTTTGTCCTTTACCTGGGGAGAAGATTTATGTTAAGGCTGCTTATTCCTGCTCCTTTGTGAGTCCCCTAATTTGGTGGAAAGGAAACCTTCATCTCAAAATTGTGGAACTCTACAGATGGATGACCAACCTTGGCATTAATAGGTTGTGTGAATGCAAGCCACTCCGCTCTGAAAACTCAACAGGGGAAAAGCTTAGGCAAAACTGCAGGTGATATTGACATGGTACGGTGCACGGATGATGGTACCTAGTTTGGTAATAAGACGTCTGCAAGAAAACCACCAAGCTCAGAGAGCACCAAGGACCCCATAATTCAACCCTGAGCTACAAATATTCTCTTCTATCGTTAAGAAGCACACTTCAACAAACCCTGGTTTAGCACTCTGCCAAACCTTTCTGGGTCTGCCTGTTGCCCAAAACAACAACAAGCCCTCATTGATGGTTTGGCTGTCAGTTTCCACCCCACCAAGGCTAGGTCGGCCAAACAAAGCCGTCTCAGCGCTTAGGGTGCTAATATAACCCCCGTTTTAATCACTCAGAAGGGCCCCTGGAGGTCTTCTAGTCCAACCCCCTGCTGAAGCAGGAAGCCCTAAGTCTATACCATTTCAGACAAACTATTTCCATCCATTGTCTTGCCTTCTGGTGTTTTGGAGAATAGGGTCGACCCCCTCTTCTTTGTCTCAACATCTTGTTTTGTAACGTGGGGGAGGCAATATTCCCCAAATTTGATTCTAGTTAGATTGGTTTCTGCTCCGCCTCTGGGACAAACGCAGCCAGAAGTTACCGCGGTTTATTAACGCGTTACCCGAAGCGAAAGTGGCTGTACTCGAGGTCGTAAGTGGCGGTGATGTGTGGCTGATGGTGAAGGAGGGCTGATCCTCAGCCACCCCCTTCTTCATCGCCAGCCTATATAGCCCGTGCCAGAAGGCGTCCACAAACAGTCTCGTCCTCTCCGGCGGGCCAAAATGATGCAAGACGAGGTTTTTGCGTCTTTCGTTTTTTTCGCCACGCTTTTGATCCTGAAGATGTACGCCGTGGCTATCCTGACGGGGCAGGTCAGACTTCGGAGAAAGGTAAGCCCCAAAGGGACGGGGGTTGGTGGGCAGCGAAAGGAAGGGCCCTTTCCTTGCAAATTCTTTGGAAAGAGGAGCGAATTCCTGGCCGCAGGAATCTCGCAGCATCACCGGTTGGACATCGAGCAGCCGTCTGCCTCTTTCCCGCTCGCGCCTGCCTGCTTTTTGCAGCTGAAAAGGGGGTGGGCGGGTGTTTTAGGGGGCGCAGGAGGTGTAACCACATTTGAGAGGTATTCTGGCTTCTCGGAGACTTGGGGTTCCAGAGCCCATTATCCCCAGCGAAGAAGCTGGGACCTTCCCTAAGAGGGGGGTGGGGGGGAACAACAATGTATTGCAAGCGATGCTTTTCTCCGAAGGCGCAAGGAAAGGAATGTTTGAGGCTTTTAAAATATGGGGATTTTATTTTATTTTTTTAAAATATTGTTTTAGGATCCAATCTGTGCCGGTCATTGGGACAAAGAGGTTCTAGCTTTCTGGGAATTGTGTGCTGTGTGTGGTATTTATATGGTGGCTGTTGGGTGAAGCTTTTGGGATGTCGATTGGGGTGTTGATGCTTGCTAGTAAGTGGTTTATTAAGCCACCATATAAATACCACACTCCGTCTCAGAGTAGCCCAAGGCACATAGAGAAGTTCCCAGAGGATGAGCTACAGTGTGACTCCCAAAACTTGGCAGAATAAACCTCTGGTCCCCAGTGACCCGGGGTGAAATCCAGCAGGTTCTGACAGGTTCTGGAGAACCGGTAGCGGAAATTTGGAGTAGTTCAGAGAACCGGCAAATACCACCTCTGGCTGGCTCCAGAGTGGGGTGGGAAGAAAGATTTTGCAATATCCTTCCCCAAGGAGTGGGGAGGGAATGGGGATTTTGCAGTATCCTTCCTCTGGAGTGGGGAGGGAATGGGGATTTTGCAGTATCCTTCCCCTGCCACGCCCAACAGCCCTTCCTGCACCCTCTGGCCTATTCGGCTTAAAAGGATCCTGCAGGTTCTTTCCATTTACTTAAATCCCTGTCTTTGCAACTTCGATAGAATTAAATATTTATGCGAGATGCCCAATTCCGTCTTTTGGGAATACGACTCCACACTGTATTAGAATCCTTAGCTTGTAATATTCTAAAATGGGATTTTTGTGTGCAAATGATTTGAAGTTAGAGCCAAGCTGGATAAAACCAGATCCTGGAGCCTTCTTTATTTCTAACAGTGCCAGCACATAAAAGAAATATAATAGCTTTTTTTAAAAAAACACTGTGTTTGGGGATTAAATAGAAGGCCAGGTGCATAACTCCATGGCACACCCGACAAAGATTGTGTCATTTTAAAAACTTGTTCATGCTTGGATTTAGGCATGGAGCACTTTGTATTTCCTGTTTAAATGGGCCATTTGGCATTTGATGCAGAAATGTCTAAATTCAGCCCTGGGGATCACCAGGCCATTAACTCTTGATTGCTCTGGACCTCCAGTGATGGACAACTTCTGGAGGCAAGTTGTTCCACTGGTTAATCGTTCTCACTGTCAGGAAACTTCTCCTTAGTTCTAGGTTGCTTCTCTCCTTGATCGGTTTCCACCCATTGCTTCTTGTCCTGCCTTCAGATGCTTTGGAGAATAGTTTGACCCCCGCCTTCTTTGGGGCAGCCCCTCAAATATTGGACCACTGCCATCATGTCACCCCAATCCAAAAAAACCCAACCTTGCAATTAGATTTTATTAAATGCAAAGAGGGAGCCCGTGTTTTTCCATCCTTGCAACCCTTAAGAGGGGTGGACTTCAACTCCCAGAATTCCCCAGAACGTAACAGTCTTAAAACTCTTGTGCAACATTGACGTCATCTGAGCTCCGGTATTAAATTTAAACCTGACCACCAATATATTTTCCTACCACGGCTGACGGCAAAACAGAAATTACATCAGTGGGAATTTTTTTTTTTTTATTGGGGATACCACGACATTTCAAAGTTGGGGTTTTTTTAAAGTGTTGAAACGTGAGATATTCAAATAGTTTTCTTGGAAAACTTTTTTGCAGGGAATGGCTGACGTCAATGCTTTTGCAATCTGGCTTTATTCTTTAATAAGAAGCAGCTGTTTTGAAGTGGTAGGAAGGGGTGTAAGATTTAAAGATTGCCAAAAAGGGACCATGGCTGCTGTCGGGGGGGGGGGATGGGGGAGGGGGGGCCTGCCGAGAAGCCGATAACCCTTCATAGCAAGAGAAACGAGCAGCGGAAAATAAACCCCCCAGCCTGTCTTTTCAGGATTCATAATCCATGAAGGTTTTAAAGCAGGCAGGAGGAGGAACTGTTTATCCTTGCGAGCAAAGTTATGGCTTTTCCTCTTGAGCTCTCTTGCAAAAAGAAGAGCTTGTGTTCTAGCTTGCTATGGAGGAAATAAGGTATATTTCTTTTAAAAAGCCCTCTGCAAGTTTTGGAAGTAGGCAAAAACAAAAAAAATTGGCCAAAATGGTGTTTTTTTTTTTTTTTTTGCTGTGGGCAGATCTCCCCTTATTAAATGTAGTATTTTGAAATTGATACCTCCCTTTGCAGAACCAATAAAGCAAAATGCAAAACTTGTGTTTGTAATGGCAAACTTGGCTTGCCCTGAAATACTAAATGACGCTAAAACGTACAAATTAATAACCAATGAAGCCTAGAAAACATTGTGGGGTCCTTGGTGTTCTCTGAGCTTGGTTGTTTTCTTGTGGATGCTTCATTTACCAAACTAGGTAACATCATCAGTACTAGGAGAGAGTGAAGAAGAAAGATTGGACACCCATTTGTATGGGGTCTCCTGCCTTGGGGCAGGGGGTTGGACTAGAAGACCTCCAGGGTCCCTTCTGAGTCTTATGATTCTATGTTCTAATCTATTTAATTCTCGTAATTTTAGCTGCATCTATATTTATAATTGGTTTCTGTACTTCTATTTTTAATCCGGAGTCATTCTGGATAGCGAGATGGGCAACATATGAATTTAAATAAATAAATGTGCCCCCCGCAGGGCATATGCTCCTCCCTGACCCCCTAGCTTTCTCCCTGCAGGGACTTCTCTTTCCAAGGAGGGGAATGAAACCATGCCCATCTCTTCCCTTCCTTCTCCTCCCCACCATTGGACCAGGCCCAAAATTCGTATCTCAATCATTTCTTCAGGCAGAAGTGCCACACCTTTCCCGGATGTTTAGGTTTGATAAGATATTTAAAAAATTTACTAGATGGGGAGAGGCCACTCTGAGAAGAACAGACAATGGAGGTTGCTTGTGTCTGTTCTGATTCACCACTTACTACATGGAGAATATGAATGAATGGTAGGAGAACTTCTCCTTGATGTCTATGGAGATTCTCGGTCATCCCAGGTCATAGTTGTCCCAAAAAGGTGCTTTTTGTGTCAGAAAAAACAAAAGCGCCATCAGTTGTGATTGGATGAAGGTTCTCCTTGGATGTTCATTGTCTTCTCCTTCCGGTCCTTTCCAGGCCTTTGCCAATCCTGAGGATGCGCTGAAACATGGTGGCTTGGAGTTCCACAGAGAAGATCCCTATGTGCAGAGGTGTCTTAGGTAAGTCATCCTGGGGGGGATCAGCCATGGTCAGCTCAGCAAGGTAGACCAGACAAAGAAACAGGCACCATGTAGGCCTACAACTACTTTGATTAGAATAGCTCTAGTGAGAGAAACTTTGCAAGCTGAATCGGCTTCTCTCCTCGCCTTCTCCTCACTCCTCTCATCTCTTCTCGCTCCTCTCTTCCCTCCTCTCTTCTCTCTTCTCCTCATTCCTCCCTCTCCTCTTCTTTTTCTTCCAGCATCTCTCCACTATGCTGTGGATCTGTTTTTCCTTGGGGGAAGGATCCTTCTCACCTCCATCCTCCATCATCAAATTAACCAAGGATAATCTGGCTGGCCAATCAATTCTATCAAGCCAGTTTTGACCTTCTAGCAAGACTTTGCCCTAAGCCCATAGGCTCAATCGTGGCTTGTCTGCTGTAGTTTAAGGCAGGCCTGAGACCCCCCCCTCCCTAAGGGCTGTGGGTGTCCCCCAAATCTTTTGGGAGGATCTCTAGAACCTTCCCCCATCGCTGGAACTGGGTCCCATCTTTTCAAAGCAAAAAAATTGTGTGCCAGACATGAAGTTTGTCTTATCGCCTAATAAACTTTGATTTATCTGAAAAGGGATAGCCTTGCATTTCAAAGGGATGTGATTAATTTTGCAACCTTCCTATTAATCAGTCCGATTTCCCACAGTATATCCCTTAGAGTAATATTTTCCCCCCCCTTTTTGTTAGTATTCAACCCTGGGTAGAAAGACCAGAGGCCCCTGATGTAAAAACATCCTGCCTTGTGCAATTTCAGACTTGTAAATCTCTCCTTTTCCTGAGTGAGGCTGGCGATGACAAGACTGATCTGAACAGGAATGTAAGTCCCAAGTGCCAAGGAGCGATGGGCGTTGAGTTCACGAGGCATGCAACCCAGGTTAACAAAGCATTTTTCCCCCCACCTGGCATTCTTCGCCTGGTTATTTAGCAGGCCAGAGGGTTTCTTTTTTATACCCAGGTGGCCTTTTATGCTCTTTTGTAAAAAATACTTAGGAAATAGGGCCTGCCTGTGAAAACTGCCTCTCCTTGTTCCTCCCCGATAGGCCATTTATGGTCTGTTGCAAAATAAAGAGTACAGAAGAACAGAACTGGAAGGGAACTTGGAGGTCTTCTAGTCCAACCCCTTGCTCAAGGAGACTCTATAACATTTCCAATCTCTTCTTGAAAACCTCAGTGATGAAGCACCCACAACTTCTGGTGGCAAGTCGTTCCACTGGTTAATTGTTCTTGTTGTCATGAAGTTTCTCTTCCCAGGTTGCTTCTCTCCTTGATGAGTTTCCATCCGTTGTTTCTTGTCCTGCCTTCAGGTGCTTTGGAGAATAGGTAGACCCCCTCTTTTCTGTGACAGCCCCTCAAATATTGGAAGATGCTATCATGTCATCCTTTTCTCCATTAATCTACACATATGTGGTTCCCTCAACCATTCACTGATATAATTTAGCCTCCAGTCCCCTCATCATCTTTGTTGCTCTTCTGGGCACTCTTTCTAGGGTCTCAATTTTTGGGAGGTTGTATCGGTGACTAAAACTGGACGCGATATTCCAAGAGTATAAAGTGGTACTATCACTTCTTGGGATCTTGATTCTGTCCCTCTGTTGATGCAGCCTAGGATTGGGTTGGCTTTTTGGGCTGCTGCCACACCCGGCTGGCTCATATTTAAGTGATTATCCACTAGGACTCTCATAGTTATTATTACTGAGCCAGGTACCACCTACACCAGATCTCTACATTTGGCTTTTCGTGCCTAAGTCTGTAAACTTTAAACACTTTAATCCTCGACCAGGGGAATAATCTTGATTTCTCCAGGCAAGAGAAAGGAATTTGATTGAGGAAAGGAAAGCAACCCTTGTTTATTTAACTTTTTAAAAGCTCCTACGTTATTCCTCCTCCTCCTCCTCGCTTCTCTGTTCTTATTCCAGCCAACGGTCGCAAAAAAAGAAGTTTGTTCTAGTTTAGGAAACTTCAGAGAAAGTGACGGAGCTTTGGGGAAGATTTACAACATATTGTTTGCTTTCAGCTAAAATGTTGGCTCCAGATTGCAAGCTAAAAAAGTGGGATAGGATTTTTCAGCTTGGTTAGTTTGCAAAGAACGTGGCCTCCGTGGCTGAGGGCTGGCTGGCATTTGTCCAGGACCTGTGGCATTTTGCTGGACGGCCCCTCCCTTTTTTTTTTTTTTTTTGTTGCAAAGCTTGAGGGGAGACCCGATGGAAAAAGAAACACCTTTTAAACTTAAGCTTTTTTGCTATTCAGTGAATTGACTATAATTAATGGGATTCCTTCCAGCGTGTTTAATTGTGTTTTCTGCAGCCTGGCAATTCTGGTTGGAGTGGGGGAAGGAAAACCCTGGGAACTCAGGCATTTTTCAAAGAATTGTAGAATCAAAGCACTGGAAGGGTCCTTGCAGGTCTTCTAATGCCTGAGCAAGAGACTCCCAGATGAATGATTGTCCAAACATTTCTTTAAAATCTCCAGGGATGGAGCAACCACAACTTCTGGTGGCAAACTGTTCCACTGGTTAATTGTTCTCACTGTCAGGAAATTCCTCCTTAATTCTAGTTGCATCTCCCTTGAATGATCTTCTACCCATTGCTTCTTGTAAAGACCTTTTCATTTCTAGTTCGATGAAAAGAAAGACTAGGGATGACATGATAGCAGTCTTCCAATATTTCAGGGCCTGCCCCAAAGAAGAGGGAGTCAAGCTATTCTCCAAAGCCCCTGAGGGCAGGACAAGAAGCAATGGGTGGAAACTAATCAAGGAGAGAAGCAACTTAGAACTGAGGAGAAATTTCCTGACAGAACAATTAACCAGTGGAACAACTGAAGTTGTGAACGCTCCAACACTGGAAGTTTTTAAGAAGATGTTGGATAACCATTTGTCTGAAGTGGTGTAGGGTTTCTTGCCTGGACTAGAAGACCTCCGAAGTCCCTTCCAACTTTGTCATTCTGTTATTCATTGGACTAATACAGGTTGTCCTCCACTTACAACAGTTCATTGTTCAACGTCACAACAGCATTGAAAAATGTGACTTCTGACCATTTTTCACAGTTGCAGCCTTTGCAACCTCCTCATAGTCACACCATCAAAATGTGGATGCTTGGCAACTGGCTCATATTTATGATAGCCAGTGATGATGGAGAAGAACATGTGAAGGAGGCTACTTCATCACCTTCTCAACTCTCAGAGACATGGAGAGCACAAGCAGGAACCGAATGGCCTGCCCATCAGGAAAAAAAAGAGAAAGTTGAGGGAGACAATTTAATGACCGAAGTCCAAAGGCCTTGGTGAAGTGATTGGATTGTTTTCCTTCTATATTTTTAATGTCTTGACGGTTTTTCTTTGTTATAACCTCCGTGTAACCCAAGGAGAACTTGTTGTAACTCATTCTTTCTTCCCCAGTATTTCCTCCCTGCCTTGAGGGCCGAAGAATGATTTACACTCTGAATTTCCTAGCCAAAGAGGGCAGAGTTTCTCCAAAGTATAATACCTAGGCAAGAAATCCCTTAATTAGGTCATCAGAAGGTTAATCTTCAACAACACCAACAAAATAGCTCTGTCTGAGTTGTGTTTATGCCCTGGGCTGAAATATGGGCAGGAAGTAGCTGAAGTTGGGTGCCTTATTTCATAACCTTGCCTTGTTTATATAATCTCCCATTAACAACTTTGGGAGATGGCCAAAGGTGGGTGTGTCCATGAATTTTTGTCAAGCAATCCCGCAAGCTGCGAGTCCCTCTTGATTCATTATATCTCTACCGGACCCAGTTGGCGTTGCAGATAGGGAATCTGCCCTTGCCAAAGATGGCTGCAAGACCCACGGGAAATGGCTGGAGAGCACCACTGTGGTAGCCGTAGATTTATTTTTTTGCCTCTTCGGCGAATGGGGGAGGTGGGGATGGAATCCAGTTGTGGGTGTCATTCCATGCAAGCTTAGAGTTGAGGAGATTATTTTGGCCTTGAGCCCTTCTCTTGAAGTTGAACCTTGACAGTTGAAGAGCTTCATTTGACCTTGAGTCCTTCTCTTAAAGTTGAACCTAGAGATTTGAGCTTCTTTTGGCCTTGAGCTCTTCTCTTGAAGTTGAATCTAGACAGTTGAGGAGCTTCTTTTGACCTTGAGCCCTTCTCTTGAATTTGAATCTAGACAGTTGAAGAGCTTCTTTTGACCTCAAGTCATTCTCTTAAAGTTGAGCCTAGAGATTTGAGCTTCTTTTGGCCTTCAGCCCTTCTCTTGAAGTTGAATCTAGACAGTTGAGGAAGTTCTTTTGACCTTGAGTCCTTCTCTTGAAGTTGAACCCTAGAGGGTTGACTTCTTTTGACCTCAAGTCATTCTTGAAGATGAGGCTCCTGGCCAACTGTACATTTGTGTGGATAAACAAAACCCATTTCAGAGGGATTTCTCATTGCCAAGGCTCCATTCAAGTGGATTTATTGGGTGTTTATCTGTCTTGCAATAACACAGCGGATTGCAGACATGAGCTTTTGCCTCAGATGCCGTGTTCTCTGGCCCATGAGCTGTATGCAGAGAGACTTATGTAAAAATCCCAGGCCGGGCTCTGACTTCTGGGAAGGATTTGCATGGTTGATATTGTAGACGGCAGGTATGCAAAGACCCTTTGGATTTTTCGTGGAAGTTGTGAGGGAGGAAAGTACAGGCAATCCTTGACTTGCAACCATTTTGTTTAGTGACTTTTTGAAATTACAGCAGACCTGAAGAAAGTGGCTTATGACCATTTTTCACATTTTTGACTGGAGTAAACACCATTCCCTTGTTACCTAGTTTGGAAATGAAAGATCTGCAAGAAAATAACCATGCTCAGAAAGCACCAAAGATCCCTCATTTCAACCCCAAGCTGCAAATATCCTCCTTTATGCAAATGGTCATTAAGCAAACGGATGTAAGTTGAGGGCTACCTGTACAAACCTTTGCTGTTGGCTGTCTTCCATAAATCACGATTACACAACAAGCCACGTCTTTGCCGAATGTGTGAACCCAGTTAGAGGTATGGACTGCAGGCTCCAATTCACCAGGACTTGTTTTTCCTCTGAGATTCCTGGCAAAACCTTGTGAATTAAACTGGGGGAGCCAGTTTGATGATAATCATTGTAATTATCTGGCAGGTTTTCTGTTCTTTTTTTTTTTTTCTTTTCCTAATGATGTGATTAAATGTTATTTAAGTCAGTCGTGGAGTTTCCAGCCCAGCCTCCTAACAGAATCCATTGGCTGAATAATTGTGCCTTGTATTGGGAATGCGGAATCTGTTTGTTCCTTTTGCAAAGCTTAAGTTTCAAAGAGAGGGTTTTGCATTTCAATAGTGGACTAAAAATGGAGAACAGAATTAATTTTCTTCTTCCAAATTAGAATGTCTCTCTGCATTTCTCTTCTAAATATCTGAAGATGGCCAACGTGTTTCTTCTCAGTCTTCTGTCCTCCAGACTGAAACATGAGGTCTTCAACTGTGTTCAGAAATCATGTCTTGGGGTCTCCGTCAGAGGTGGGAGTCACTTACCTTCCCTACCGGTTCGCAAATGTGAGCGCACACATGTGCTCTGTGCCTGGCCTTCCACCCATGCGCAGTGCTCGCGCATTACATCCGGGCAAGTGGGCGGAGCCTCCTGCCACTACCAGTTATACCTCTGAACCGGTGAAGATTCTCCGTCATCTGGGTGATGCGTTGTCCCAAAGGTGCTTTTTCAAAAATCAATTGGACATCTTTGTTTTTATTTGAAGACGTTTCACTTCTCATCCAGGAAACTTCTTCCATTCATCATTCTTCCATTTAGAACTGAGGAAGGTTTCTTGGATGAGAAGGGGAACATCTTCAAGCAAAAAACAAAGATGTTTTTGAGGCGACTCTTGGAAAAGCACCTTGTTGTGACCGAGGCCCACGTAGTGATTACCAAATACAATTCAGTCCCAAAATAACTTATTAAAACAGCTGAGAATTAATTCATTCTCATCTTAGTCCAAAACAAATTCTTCATAACCAGTCCCACGGTCTTATCACCAACTTTTGATGTCTTTGGCAACCTGCCAAAGGCTTTTCTTGGAAAAAAACCCACAAAGTTCAAGAGACGCTGACAAGATGCACTGGAATCAACGTTGCTTTTCTACAAAGAGCCCAAGAGCCTTTGCTGCTCTTTTAAGCCTTCTGGGAGGGGCAAATCATCTTCTGGTCTTACTCCTGAGTCGTCCTTTTTGCTTTAGCTGTTCTTGCCTTCTGGCAGCTCTGCGCATGTGTGTACTAGGAACAGGCTCCTCCTCTGCTTTCCGCCTCTGGAGGCTCCGGAGTCTGCGCATCGCTCCCAGATAGCCCTGGCCCCATCTCTGCCTCCGACGCAGAGCCCTTGCCCGGGCCTTCCCCAGACTCCAGGACTGGCCCATTGTCCTCCCCAGCCTCCTCACTGTCTGACTTGGCTGCCAGCTCCGCAGGCTGCTGGCGGACCACAACACACCTTTGGGATTCCTCTGAATCTGCTCTAACCTGTCCATCTTCTTCTGGAACCCCATAATAGTACCCAGAAGCTCAGGTGAGTCTTCCCGATGTTGGGTCTAAAAAGGACTAAGCCTAATCAGGTTACTCTTATGTGTCCTTCTCTTGTCTCCAGACTTCATCGCAACGACATGGAAAATATCTTCCCGTTCCTCTTCATCGGGGCTATCTATTGCTTCCTGCATCCCAATCCGGTGGTGGCTCGGATCCACTTTCTGATTTTCTTCCTCGGCCGGATGGTTCACACCGCAGCGTACCTCCTCAAGCTGAAACCACCCATCCGGTCCCTGTCCTACAGCGTGGCTCAGATTCCGTGTTTCTCCATGGCTTTGCAGATCCTCATTTCAGTGATCAGACGCTAGTGAGCGTCCGTCGGTGGCCTTCGTCCCTCAGTGGCTCTTGCATGACATTGAAGGGAGGACGTTGAAGGGATAGCAAGAGTTCAAACAGAAGTAATAAATGTTTCACCTTATGGCTGAGTTATTATTAACTAGTTCTGGCTTTTCTCTCTTGAGAGAAAAAGACTAGAATGGATGGATTTCTTTATCTCCTGGTCTCTGCTTGTAAGGCGTGGATGATAATTTTGTAATGTCCAGGTTTGCTTCGGAAAAATGTAAGATGCGGGCAAGCCTGAACCATCACAACTTGGGTGGGTGTGAGTGAAAAGAGTTTTTCCTGCATCAGTTGAAGGATGAAATACTTTCTCATCTAGATCTAACCTCCGCTGAAACCTCTCGAGGTGCCCATTCCAGCTACGAGATGTTCAGAGTCCAGCGTGGGTTGAGTTACGGACACGTCTCTTCATATTCACACCGTTTGTAAGGGAAGAAATAAAAACAAAATTAAAAGATATTTGCACTCCTGGCATTTTTCCATCCCCAAGCTTTCTTAAATAAGCTTTGCAGTTGGCGCTGAGTTTCTTTTAAAAGTTGGTGTAAAAGCTCTTGTTTTTAGAGGACGTTTTTCTCAACCCTCTCAAACTTTCATCCGGCTATGTCTTGGAGGCCCTTCAGATTGGAATTGTTCAGTTCCCAGAATTCCCCAGTCGGGACAGACACTGCTGAGAATTCTGGGAGTTAGAGGAGGTCCTTCAGAGGCATAGATTTCTAAGTACAGATTATCAGATTCTCAATAAATGTTAAGAGAGGGAAATGTCTAAGCGGAAAAGCAATTAGATGGTGGGACCAATGACCCACAAGAGTGACTTCAAGTTTGGGTGAATTCAAGCTGAGCCAGGACAGGTATCTCTCAGAAAATCTTGAATTCTTTTCCTGAGTAGCAGGTTGTACGGGAAGTCCTCTTCCAACTCCGTGAACAAGTGTTTACTATGTGTGTAGGTACTGCTATTTGTTGTAGTTGTTTTACCTGGCAACCGGGTTCATACTTGAATGGGAGGCCACTTGGAGATCTTCAGGCCGCAGCTATCACCACTCACTCATTTCATCGTGAAGGATGAGCTCTTTCCTCCAAATGGAGCCTTTTTTTGGTGACTCATCAGCCTCTCTGCTCGCAGGCCCTCCTGGCTGGTGGCCCATCTGCGCCAAGCACGTCACGGGAAAAACGGGGTGGTTGGGTTCCCAAGAGGATGTGCAGAGTTCAGAGCAAATCTAAAGTAAAAGAGAGCAGGAAGTGAAATAGACCAGAAACCCTAGAGCCGTGCTTCTAATTTATTTATTTTTAGTAAAGTTTCTTACCTGTATGTCAATAAAGGTTCTGAGTCATCCAGTTAAAGTTATCGAGAACTTTTGAATCACGGCTTCTTCTCTATTAAAAAAAAAGGCCAGTTGCCATGACTCAACTTCCAGATTTCTCACCTTTAGTTGCCCCTCCCTGAATGGAATGAATGAGCTGGGAGGGACCTTGAAGGTCTTCTAGTCCAGCCCCTTGCTCAAGCAGGAGAACTGACAGTATTTCAGACAAGTGACTGTCTAGTCTCTTCTTAAAAAACATCCAATGATGGAGCACCCACAATTTCTGGAGGCAAGCCCTCCCCCTGGTTAAGGTGGAAGGATGTGGACACTCGTCCTTCATCCCCACGAGGGGAAAATCCCTAAAATAAAACACTCAGAAATGATTCTGTATCTGTGTGTCCACAGGGAGATTTTTGCTGGCTGCAAACATTTTTCTGAAATGTTCATTATGCATTGGATGATGCAACACTGCCCTCTAGTGTGTGTGTCTCTCTCTACAGCTGGCTATGTTATATTTAATTTTTTTATTCTTTTACTGGCAATGCTAAAATCACATTTTAGATTTAACAGATTAACAGAGCTGGAAGGGACTTTGCAGGTCATCTAGTCCAACCCCCTGCCCAAGCAGGAGACCCTACATCTGCCTCTACCTAGGATCGAACTCACAACCTCCTGATTGTGAGGCAAGAGCTCTGCCTCTAGGCCACTGGGTCTTGTATATAGATAATTCCCAGAAATCAGTATTGGATTCCGGAAATGGACTGCTAGGAATTATCCTATATATGATCACAAAAGAGCCGGTTTTGTCTAGTGGCTAAGGCACCTGGCTTAGAAAGTGGGAGATGGTGAGTTCTAGTCCTGCCTTAGTCATGAAAGCCGACTCGGTAATTTTGGGCCAGTCCCTCTTTCTCAGCCCAGGGTTCTTGTTGTGGGGAAAATAGGAGGAAGAAGGCGGTGTGTTGGATATGTTGAGTGCCATGAGTTATTTGTCCAAATAATAAAAAGGCAGATTCAAATAAATAAAAATAAAAACAATGCACAGGTGTGTGGAATGGGGTGAAAAAAACACGATATAAGACAGAGATTTCAGAGCTTTATTTCTGTAGGGACTGGGTGGGCAAAGGAAACAGGCTGAAATTGTTTCGAGGGTTGAGTCTTCCACTAAAAGTTCCAATCTGAAAGGAAATTTCCGGAGCAAAACATTGGGGTCCTGTTTGAAACTCCATAACTCTTTTGACTGGGGGATTTTGGGGGAAATTGGACTATTCCTTTCATTGGGAAATCGAAATAACAGGTAGGCCTTGACTTACGACCAAAATTGGGACTGGAGCTTCTGTCCTCAAGGGATGGGGCCGTTACATTTTTTTTCAGCCCCGTCATAACTTTCAACGGATGGCCATAAATTGAGGGCTACCTTATGGGAATTCTGAGGAATGGAAAAGGATGAAGCAGCCTAACTGGAATGTGTGATGTGCTTCTCACAAAGACAGAACAGAATGAAAATCCCACCCAAATTTGGGGCAACATGTCATCCTAGCAAAATCCTCCTTAATATGTACCTTTCCCCCTCCCGACCCCCCAACTGAGCAAAACTGGAGAGAAATAAAACAGAGTGGAGGATTAGGAGAATGCAAAGCTGATATTGCAACGGAAATGATTTAATTGCAGCCCTGTTTTTTCCTGCATCACCCCCTCCTCAGCTGCCCATCTTCCACCACCTAAATTCAGTGTCCCTTTAAAAAAAAAAAAAAAATCTCTGTTGCAAATCCGCCCTCTGATTTAAGCAGCATCCACAAATGTCCATTTTGGAAGCTGGCTAAATTGCAAAAAAACACAAAAAACCTGCTGAATCACAGCCGTGCAATCAACCTGGTTTGCTGGTTTATCCAAGGGCTGCCGGCCATCGGCTGCCGGCCCCGTTTCGAACAAGTCCTTCCGAGACAGCCGTTGATCGTTGCTTTCCCCATGAATCCGAGGCACGTGGTGAATTAGAACAAGCACCGTTTCCGTTTTAAAGTCAAGCAGGGCCCACCCGTCCTTGACATGCGTGCATACCGCAGAGACGGACAAGCTAACGTGTACAGGAGAGATGTCAATTTGGAATAAAAACTGCTCCATCCCAAATCTCAGTGGCCCCAAGGTCACCACACCCAGGCAAGGAAGGGCGAGATAATCAGGCTTGAAAAGACCATGAAGTAACCAGGTTATATTTGGGTTCTTGAAGCTCTAACTTGAAGCTCTAACTTTCAAGCTCTAACTTGAAAGATCTAACTCTTCTTGAAGACTTAGATCTTTAGGCTTTCAACCCAACCTGAAAGCTCTCCAAGATCCATGTCTTCATTTCTGGAAGGCCGCATCTGCTGGATCACTTCCTCTTCCTTGAAGAAGAAGTCAAGGTCCACCTGCATGGTCCACCAGCAAGATCTCGAAGAGGCTGCCTCATCCCCAAGGGAGCGTCAAGAGGTTTCTCAACATGGTTGAAGCTCTCTCCTTTGGTCTTCAGGAGAAGGAGACGTTGGGGGGCAGGGGAAGAGTTTTGAGCCCTGATGGACCATGAACATCTCCAATGTCTTGATTGGTGGAGATCGCCAGGGATGCTGCTGTTGGTGACCGAGGAAGGACGGGCAGGTCAGTTCACAGTGGGCACCTGGTTCTGGTGGAGGCTGAACTCTTTGGCTTTAAGGCGCAAGCTGGCAATACTGTTGGCCATGTTGACACCCGGCGTGGGGGTGCTGGGGGCGCTGGAACCGTACGAAGGCATCGTGTTGCTGGAAGAGGCAGAGGAGATGGGAAGAAGGAGACAGGCACGAAGGAGGAGCAACCGGAAAGAGGCATTAGACCTCCGGAGGCAGGGAAGACAGAACTGTTCTTTTATAGCCAAGAAATCCAATCTAATTTTAGCTCAGCGTTTCCCCCCCCACCTTCCCCTCCTCTGCCCCAGAAGAAATGTGTTCCTTGGCCCACAGAGCAGGAGAGCCCCTATTTTCCTTTCCTTCCTCGGTTTGGTTAGCACTTCGAGTTGAAAGGTAACATAACATTGCGATTAGAGCTAACCTGGAGCAAGAGTTGGCTCGGGAAACCTGAGAAGCAGGGATGGGGGAGGAAGGGAGGGAGGCAGGAAAGGAGCTCGAACCTACCTGTAGGGGGTGGTGCTTGACCACGATAGATAGTCGGGGCTGAGGGTGGTGGGCCGGGGAGCGACGGGCTGCTCGATGGCTGTGTCTTGGGTGTAGGATTTGAGGAGTGATACTGACCGGTTGGCCAACATCGCTCTCTCGTTCCGGCGGAATTTTGCTCTTCGGTTCTGAAACCACACCTGGAAGAAAGATGCGGATAGCAATAAAAGAGAATATTTGTATTCTCAGGGTCCTGGATGCTCTCTGAGCTTTCTTGCAGACATCTCGTGACCCAACTAAGTAACATCATCAATGCAAGTGCGTGTGGGGCTTCTCCAGCGGTGAAATCCATTTACTTTTGCTACCGGTTCGGGAACGGGAGCGCGTCTCTTCTGCGCATGCGCAGATGGTAAAAAAACCAGGACGTAATGACGTCCCGGCGGGTGGGTGGAGCCTCTCGCCACTAGCGCTACCGGTTCAGCGAGCCGGATAGAACCGGGGGGCGGGGATTTCACCGCTGGGTTTCTCCCTGTTTATATACGGTAGGCCTGAGCCGAGTTGTTTTTTTGTTGCAGACGTTTCATGACCCAACTAGATAACATTATCAGTGCTAGAGGGAAGTAGGGTTTGTGGAGAGGAGGAGGAGGAGGAGGAGAAGGAAATCAGATGTGACTCACTTAACAACTGGTCCCAGTCAGTTGTGGTCATAAGTCGAGGGCTACCTGTAGATGAATCCAATCACTCTCACCTGGACTCTGGCTTCACTAAGGCTCACCCTTCGGGCCAGCTCCTCCCGGACGAAAGCATCCGGATAGTGCGTCCTCTCGAAGACACGTTCCAGAGCCTGCAGTTGGCTGCTGTTGAACGTGGTGCGGTTCCTCCGTTGTTTCTTCTTCCGTTTGGAGGAGGAGGAGTGGGTCGGGCTCAAGCTCTGCCCTGTGGTCAGAAAATAAAGGGGGGGGGGGCAGGTCACACGCAAGCACACATGCACGCACGCACGTTCCGGTTTGGGCACTCAGTGCTGAAAATGTTCACCATCACTGGTATAGCGTCTTCTGCAGAAGCGAGGGGTTGGACTAGAAGACCTCCAAGGTCCCTTCCAAACTCTATTATTCTATGTTCTAACCAGCAGAGTGCCCTACAATCCTGCCGAAACATCTCCCCACATTCAGACTCCTTTCCACCTCTGGGCCTCGCATATTTTTTAAATGCCTCCTGACAACACCCCGTTCTAGGATCCCAGCAAATCCCACAAAATTTAAGACTTTTTGGAAAGCGACAATCCGCAGCCGAGAAGGCCGTCCCTGCTGCGCCTTCATTTAAATTCTCCTCTGAAACGCGATCTAGCCATTTTGCCCCAACATCTGGTTCCCATTTGGTCTCTAATGGAAGGTGGGGTGGGGAGAAAAAAAAAACCCCTTTATTTTGGGATGGTTTTAAAATTTGGAATACTTTTATGACAGCTCTCTGATTTGTACCAGTTACCCTGAATTCCTCTGCTATATGTCAAGCTTGAGCAGTTATGATGTGGCAAAAGGAAAAAAAAGACGGGAGAAAAACAGGAAAAAAAAAAAAAAGAGAGAGAGAAAAAATATCTCGCCCGCTCGGAGAATTCCTCCGTAAAAGGACCTTTGAGAATTTTATCCGGAAACGGCATCGGAGCGATGCAAAAGGATACCAATCAAAAAAAAAAAATCTCACTTTAAAATAATCTTTGCTTTCAGTTGTTTTCTTTCATGCAGATGCGTGCCTGCGTATGAAAATAGGCCTCCCTCCTGCCAACATTTGGAAGAGTTTATAGGTAGTCCTCGGCTTACAACCATTTAGTGACTGCTTGAAGTTACGACATGACTGAAAAAAAGGGATTTACAGCCCGTCGTCGTACTGACACTCGCTCTTAATGACTGGCGCAGCATTCCCAGGGTCACCTGATCCAAATTCAGGCAGTCCTTAACGTACGACCACAACTGGGCCCAAAATGTATGTCGCTAAGTGAGACATTTGTGGAGTGAGTTCCCTCCCCCTTTTTTTATGACTTTTCTCACTGCATTTTCTAAGGGAGTCGGTGCAGTTCTTAAATTTGTCTGTTTTCCCCACATCGACTTTGCTGGTCAGAAGGTCACACAAAAGGGGATTATGTGGCACACTCACAGGATATTGCGACCGTCATAAATGTGAACCGGTTGCCAAACATCGTGGTCACGTGGCCATGGAGGGGGGGGGAATGCTGCAATGGTCAGAAGTGTGAAAAACCATCATAAGTCACTTTTTTCAGTGCCGTGTAACTTTGAACGATCTTAACTACGATGTGACTTACTGAACAACTTCAGTGATTCACTTAGCGACAACCGTGGAAAGAAAGGTTGGAAGATGGGGCAAAACTCACTTAACAACTGTCTTAACAACAGAACATTTAGGCTCAGTGGGTCGTAAGTTGAGGACTACCTGCACTTTCAACCACTCAATTCAGGTTTGATCCTATTGTACATGTTCAATTTCAGATGGAAGGAAGGAAGGGTGGGAGGGAGGGAAGAAGGAAGAAAGGAAATAAGGGAGGGAGGTAAAAAGGAAGGAAATAAGGGAGGGAGGGAAGAAGGAAGGAAGGAAGGAAAAAAGGGAGGGAAGGATGGAAGGAAGGAAATAAGGGAGGGAAGGGAGGAAGGGGAGGAAGGAAATAAGGGATGGAAGGGAGGAGGGAAGAAGGAAGGAAGGAAGGAAATAGAGGGAAGAAGGAAGGAAGGAAAGGAGGGACCTTTTCAAGAAAATAAAAGACTTTTGCAAAAACTAAAAAAATATCAAAGCCCTGTAATTCAAAGCTTCAACCCTTTTTAGAGTTACAAAAGAATAAAAGAGAGAAATAATTTAGAAACTCCAGAGGCCACCTTCAATTCCTGAAAGTTTACGGGGGGAAAAAGCTTCTGCACTCTTAAACGGTATGATTGCCCTTGAAAATACAGATGTACGTATTCAAATCTCATAATTGTAAAAATTAATTGGACATAAGCCCAGGCTTGTGCATTACAAGGATGTCAAATTCAATTTACAAAGGAAGTAATTTTGAATTTCAGCACTATCCCCCATTTGTTTTCTCTCCTTTCCATTTCCCCCTCCTTTTGTCTCATCTCTCTATTCTCTCTCTCCTCCTTTTTTCCTTTTTCCTCCCCCCCTTTTTTTTTAAAAAAACAACAACAATATGCAGTTTAACGGAGTGGACTGAAATAGCCTGAAGGTTATTAGTCGTAAATTCTTCCGAAGAAAAATAAACCCTGTCTCCTTTCTAACTTTCCTTCTTCTTTCAACAAGTCCAGGACCGATACTACTTTTCTATTGAAATAATAATTATAGCCAAGACAGCCAGGGGGGACGCAGGGACTCCTAAATCAAATAAATAGACTTTATTAATTAACACAGGTCATTCCTGGATGCCAATTTGTTCTCCGGTCTCGGAATTAAGAAAAACAAACAAGGCAGGGTCGGGTTCTTAATGTGGATTTTACATGTTCACAGCCTTGGTTAAAGGGACACATCAGGAATAGTTTGACTAGGGGGAAAAAAAACCCCAATGTTTTGCTTTCTATACGCTATTACAACTTTTCTCTTTGCGTGTAACCTTTAACTGGGTGAACGGTGCATCGTATGGCAACCATTTTTGAAGAAGGTCGCTCAAACGGACTAATGGCAGAATAGCAGAATAACAGCATTGGAAGGGACCTTAGAGGTCCTCTAATCCAACCCCCGGCTCAAATGTTTCTGGCAGTCCGCATCTTCTAACTGTGCCACTATTTGGAAATACAACCTGATTGTGTTGTTGTGCAAATAGATCAACGAACAGTAACTCTTTTTGGATATGACTATTTATATTTTTCTAAATTTACATAGCCACCAATAACTCTAGTTTGATAATGGAGGATTAAAGCAATCGATTAAATCCCCTGTAAAAAAAGGACATGACGTTTTTTATCTAGGAATGCCTCTGCTGATCTTTAAAAAAAACTTTAGACATATTGGAAATTTGATAGAGCTACTCTTTGACTAACGAGCACACTTGAGTCCCAAATTTCCATCGTTAAGAGATTTTTGCCCCATTTTACGACCTTTTTTGTCACAGTTGTTAAGTGAATCACGGTGGAATCAAGTTAGAGAGGGGGAGAGAGAGAGAGAAAGAAAGGAAGGAAGGAAAGAAAGAAAGAGGAAGGCAAAGAGAGATGGAAAAGAGAAAGAAACGAGAGAGGAAGAGAGAGAATGAAAGGGTGACAGAGAAAGAGAAAGAGAGAGAGAAAAGGATAAAAGAGAGACAGAGGAAGAGAGAGAAAGAAGGAAAGCGAGAGCGAAAGAGAGAGGGGGGCCAGGAATGGTTTGCCAAAGCTTCTCCATCCACCTTGATTGACGGCTTCCTTCATTTATTATGCCGCTCAGAGCTCTTTGGGGAATGAAAATCTCTCCATTTCCACCCCCCTCCCCACCTACCCTCCCCGGCCCCCTTCCCCCCAGCCTTTGAAAAGCAGCGTTGACTTTTTCCTCCAAGGGGGTTAGAAAAATGCAAAAGGGCAGAGTTTTAAACCCCGCCAGGGCAATCGAGGAGGAGGAGGAGGGCTGAAGGCAGGTGACCCCGCTGCCTCTGAAGTCCTCCATCTGAAAACGTTTAAGGGCATCTCAGTTTTCCTTCCGATCCATCCAGACTGTCAGAAAGCCACGGGGCGGGGGGGGGGGGGGGAGGGGGGGGGGGAAAGTCCTTTTTCCTTCGCTCCTCGCAGGAAACGGACGGACGGCAGGGTTGGAAAAAGGAGGATGGTCAGAAGGGGGAATCTCTCTTAGCCTTTGTGGACAACTTTGGCTCTGGGCAGGAGAAGCCGAGCAGAAATTTTACAGATAGTTAGATTATAGATACATACATATAAATGATAAAGAGATGATAAATAAAGTAGATACAGTATAGACACATAGATACCTTAGACAGATTAAATAGATAGATAGATAGATAGATAGATAGATAGATAGATAGATAGATATTCATCCATCCATCCATCCATCCATCCATCTATGGTATCTATCTATAGTATCTTGCTATCTATGGTGTCTGTCTGTCTGTCTGTCTGTCTGTCTGTCTGTCTGTCTATCTATCTATCTATATCTATCTGTCTGTCTGTCTGTCTGTCTGTCTGTCTGTCTGTCTGTCTATCTATCTATCTATCTATCTATCTATCTATCTATCTATCTATCTATGTGTCTATACCAGTGGTGGGTTTCAAATTTTTTTCACTACCGGTTCTGTGGGTGTGGCTTGGTGGGCGTGGCAGGGGAAGGATACTGTAAAATCTCCATTCCCTCCCCAATCCAGGGGAAGGTTACTGTAAAATCCCCATTTCCTCCTGATCAGCTGGGACTTGGGAGGCAGAGAATATATGGGGTGGGGGCCAGTCAGAATTTTTACTACCGGTTCTCCGAACTACTCAAAATTTCCACTACCAGTTCTTCAGAACTGGTCAGAACCTGCTGAAACCCACCTCTGGTCTATCGATAGATACCATAGATAGATAGATAGATAGATAGATAGATAGATAGATAGATAGGTAGGTAGGTAGGTAGGTAGGTAGGTAGGTAGGTAGGTAGGTAGAAAGATAGATAGATAGATAGATAGATAGATAGATAGATAGATAGATAGATAGATAGATAGATAGATAGATAGATAGATACCATAGATGGCTGGATGGCTGGATCGATATCTATCTATCTATCTATCTATCTATCTATCTATCTATCTATCTATCTATCTATCTATCCGTCTATAGATAGATAGCATAGATAGATACGATCGATCGATAGATAGATAGATAATAAGATTTATAAGCAACCAATGGTCTCTTCTTCTTCATTTTCTCATTTGAATCTACAGCTTCTTTTCCATTTTTCTCCTCCTCTACCAACTTTGCTGGTTC